ATCGTATGGGCGTGGCCTCTTAAAAGCTGTTGGCACGATAAATCTCCAAAACGTGTGGGACTAATACTCCTTGCAGGACATATTTCACGGGCGTGACGCTTTTTTCAAGGAAGGTCCCCCTATAGCGCCCTATGCAAAATACCATTACGCCCCGAAAAAACCTCGCCCTCCCGCCCACAAATGGACGACCGCACCTAAAGCTCGTATTGCTCCATTTGCTAAGTGAAATATGAAGCGAAGGGATTGATATGAAGCAAGCGCTGTACTTATATGTGTACATACATGATACCGTATCTACCGTAGCGGTTATTGGCAAGATGCCTACAGGTAAACTCGTCCAAAATTGCTTTTTGAGTCATTAAGAACGAAGCTGCTTTTCGCCATTTTCCCACTGTATAGCATTTTAGACCAAGCACCAAATTATCGTGCCATATGCCTTCAACCCTTGTTCTTCTCCTAAAATGAGTCCTCACTAATTCGAAGTAGAGGTCCACTAATCAGTAGACGTGCCTTCGGCGTCTCCTTTGTTCAAGATATTGAAAATCCACGCGTGCTGACCCCCTACTTACTGCAAGTGTTTAGCATAGTAACCTACAGATAGAATCAAACCGTGTTCGGAGCCGAATTGCTCAAGAAGGGCCCGCTGTAAGTTGGGCCAAGAGATCTGCCCATCTGCCCCCAATGCTTCACCGGACAAACTCGCTGTGTTCCTACTAATTCACCCCCAGCCACCACCGGCTGGCCAAGGTCCACGACCAGCACCATCAGCACCCGGCCAAGGTCCTCAGCGATTTCTGCACATGATTGTATCCCCTTGCTATCAAAACCACTGCACTGCACACTAATATTTCAGGACCTACTTTGCCATTGTGTTCCTCCATCAACTGTCCCCCACGCACCATGTGTTTAATTCCTTGTCGTCCAGATAACGACAGCTACGCTACACCACCGCCATCTAACTTGAAAGGTTCACAATAAAATTTATCACTGAACAATTGCACCAGCACCTTTTTGTTTCACGTTTTCAGTTTCAAACGGACTAACATGCGCCAACGTCAGATGTCGTGACGGTTATGTGTGCCGACTGGAAACAGTGAACTGTGTTCGAGCACCTTGTCCTCCCAGGCCGATATGTGTCCCGACGGGTTCGTCTGTTCTGTTACTTTCACTGTTCACTGCGAACTCAATTACCCTCGAAATCCCTGAGATGGGGTGGGCGTGGCAGCGTACTTCAACTGAAAGTGGTGGCAGCTGTGGACACAATTGTGTTCACGTCTCTGTTCAATACAGAACAAGATGGCAGTTGCCTTAGAGTGAAATATACCACGATTAACCCATTTCATGCCATTCTCGGATGCCACGCCTACTCCATTTCAGGGATAAGGAGTATACCTTTGTTTCACACTTATACTATTGCCATCCTACATAATCCATCAATACTGATGTGAAGATACTGAGGAAAATCCTCCCACATCACAGCTGGGCGTTGTGATCCCCTCTGATCTCCCCTCACCACCTCATATCACTCTGCGAAAACTTTACAGGAGGTCGCTTTCTGCTCACAACAACGGATAGTTCGTAGGCCCGTAGCCTAAGCGCGAAGAGATTGTTATTTCCTAAGAGGCGTGGAGCTCGCGTGGAAGAAGAAAGAGCGTTTCACCATTCGAGAAGCAGTTCGAGCCTGCACAAGGTAGCCACAAATGGGTGTCGGGCGGAGTTTTTAATACCTCAATAAGATTTTTTTTTGTATATGTATTTGGCATCAAAACTATTAAAGTAACTTAGGTGTTTCTTTCGGACGCGGCAGTCATGGTTTAAGGCAACATCTGCCATCAACGGCCTTACGCTGCACTTAAGCAATAATTGATGCTGGTTGACCGGCTCACCAAGGAAACTGTGAGTGCTGTAAAGGCTACTGCATCAAAAACGAAACTGTTAAGACGACTGAGAGGGTAGAAGCGGCCTGGTGGGCGTAACGAGATAGCGCACTCGCCGTAAAGCGTGAGGCTGCTGGTGTAGAGCTCCCGCTGGGCGTTTCCGTCATTCTTTCTGCCGCATAACTCGGCCATTCCTTGTTAATATGGGTTCATGGGTCCAAGTCGTTGCTGTGAAGGAATAGAAGACCGCGAATTACAGTTAGCAACTACTCCAAAAAACTGGGAATTGAGGGCAATAAAGGCCTCCAAATCCTTTGCTCATTATAAGGGGCGGAATGCCAGGCCTAACCAACAGTGCCTAATTGCGCACGCCACAAACGTACCTTCCTTCTGCATGAAACTTTTGAGAGGAAATTTACATAAACACATGCAATGCACACGGTTAAACCTCGCGTGATGAAACTGAAAAGCGCATACATGAGGAAGCAGGGCACGTCCTGTCATTGAGGAAAAGTTTTGCTCAACACCATCCCCTCCTCTCCAGCGACTGAATACATTTCCACTTTGAGGGACCTCAACTTACGACGTGAAGGGAATGTTAAGCTGCAGCGAGCTTGAGTCTGCTCATTCAGTCAGTATGGGATGCGATTTGAAAAGAGCTGGTGCATCACGATATTCTCTGGACTCTTTTTGAAATCGCGAAGTAGGTCATAAAGAAACATGTGGGAGGAACTAAGGAATCGCACGACTTCAACAGTCCTCCCTAGAAGAAATATCAAGCTGTCTAGAACTTGCTAGCTGTCCAATCCAAGTTTCGCACCATCCCCTCACCTGCTGCACACTTTTCTTCCACAATTTCAGAATCTCCACCGCTCACGTGCGACAATGTCAGGTGTCCTGCGGGTACTGAATGTCAGCAAGTACCACTCAATTGTTTCGTACCACCGTGTCCACAACCACCACCACAGTGTGTTAAGATTGGTCGGTCCCTTCTAACACTTTTGACATACACATTAATTCGCCTTCACTCAATTTTCTTTATACTTGGTTCTGAGAGAAGGACGTCCAACTTGAGTGAGTGGGATCGCCCCTGGCTTTGACAAAGAGTCCCTCGGTGGGATGGGGGAAAACTTTTGCACGGTCGCTGATTTTTTCTGTACTTTGCTATATATCCTATATCCTATAGCCTTGCTCGACGGCAATTTTTGGGGAGAAATTGGAAGGATTTTTGGAGAATTGAGGCGAAAAATGGGAAATTTCTTGAGGATGCAAGATTGGATGGAAAAGGGCGATCATACATGACGAGGAAATTCAGATAGTCTTACTGCACTGCCATACAAAATTCAGTAGAAAACTTTCAGCAGAATCTCCAAAATAGTAACAGACACATGCAGCAATTGCGTCACACATT